GGCTTGGTGAAGACAGAGGTAACGTTGCTGACCGTCCAAAACAAACAATCCACTAATAGCACAAACCCTGGGAACACCCAGCCGCTTAGGATTTCAAGGGTTTCTGCGATGGTTTGTCACCTACGCCAGGAAGAGTGCGAAATGGGTCGCGAGCCGCAGGACAAGGGGCAGAGAGAAGACAGAGAGGACCTTGCCGACCGTCCAACACAACCCACTGGAGACACGACCCCTGGGACAACCCAGCCGCCCCGGATTCCCCCGGATTCTGCGACGGCCAGTCGCTTCCATTTGGAAGAGTGCGAAGATAGTCGCGAGTTGCAGGAGGAAGGGGAGCCCTCCGCTGGGGAGGAGACCGTCGATGAGACCATCGAGGGAGCGGCGGATGAATCCTTGGAGGAGAAGTGTGAGGACGAGGAGAGCGAGAGCATCCCAGAGGACGACCTGGGTATTACGGCGGAAAGAGACAACAGGACTTTGGAACAAACGGCACTGGGAAGTTCCACCGCGCCCACACGTCAGCATTCCCCAGACGAGCGGGACAACGAAGCCATCCTTCAGCTGGTTTCGAGGAGCCCTTACGCCCCCATTCGTCCTCGTTCCCCTGCCAGCGATTCGATACAGACGGACGCCTGTACTAGCAGCCGCGGGTCAACCCCTGCATCCCTGCAAAGCTCGCCAAACCCCCCTCCTCTCGGGTGGGGACGTGCGCTCGACCGCCGAGACGGGTCGGCAGCCCAAACGGGGGGCATCCTCGACGCGTCGGACTGGGCGCGGGTGGATGCCCAGGCTGATCGCCGATCGCCTGCATCCAGGACCACGGGACCCCCACACTGGAAGGCCGCTCTATAAAGCCTTGGCCCACGATTCCCAGTGGGAACCCCACGGAGTGTCACCAAACGAGACGATCAGGTACCTTCAGGTCACCTTGGGTGCGTCGTTCGCATCCGCTTGGCACGCCTTGGCCGAGCATCGCTCTGCCCCTGGCACCGCGCGCGCTTTCGACCCGCGTCGGCACGATCAGCGAACCTGCGTCGCTTTCCTGACCTCACTTCGCAGCCACAGCTGCGATGCTCGGGCCAGTAGCGATTCATTGGGCATGGGTATCGACTGGGCGCAGGCGCGTGGACAACACCTGGGACACCGCGTCGGCGCGAACAGGGAACGCCATGCACCCCTGCGAGATGGTCGGGATCTCGTGGGCGCCGACATTGGCCGTTCGCTCTAGGGTGGGGGTGCTCTCGGGCGAGGTCGGGCCCTGGACGTCGGAGGCGCGGCCGTCTGCCTCCACCCCTGTGTCGACGGCGTCTGCGAGCCGTCAGGACCCTACCAGAGAATCAGAGTGCGTGGCGTGCGCGTCAGTGCACACAGGGTTACGGTGAGCTCTTCCCCCTCCTCTCACACCGTGTGCCTGGCGTGCACGTCCCTCCCTCCCTTCCTGCATCTCAGAGCTGCAGCGGTTAGCTGCCGCACCGGGGTGCCTACCGTGCCTGGCGTGCATTTTCGTTCCTCTCCTCCTACCTGTGCATGGCGTGCCCTTCCTTCCCTCCCCTCCCACATCCTTTTGCTGCAGCGGTTAGCTGCCACACCGGGATGCCTGCCGTGCCTGGCGTGCACTTCCCCTCCTCTCCTCTTGTTTCCTTATTGTGCCTGGCGCGCACTTCCTTCCCTCCCCTCCTGCATCCCAATGTTGCAGTGGCTAGCTGCCACACCGGGGTGCCCACTGTGCTTGGCGTGCGTTTCCCCTCCTTTCCTCCTGCACGCGGGTGCTTTCCCTCCTGTTTCACAGGGTTATTTCCTGGCGGTTGGGGTCTGCTGCCCACTAGTGTTTCCTGATGGCGTTCAGGTGGTCTGAAATTCATGCGAGGGCTCACGCAGGGAATGGTGCTGCGTCACATTCGCTGAGGTCAGGTGCCCCGTGGCCTGCTCCTACTGACACCGAAGGTTCCAGCGGGCCTTTCGCTACACCGCCTACTTCACGGTACTTGGACCCCGGGTTCGGCATGTGTGGCTCTGTACGCTCGTTGGCCGACGTTTTCCTGCATGGACTTCGTTTTCGACAAATGTTACAGGTTTTACTGAATTCGTGCAAGGGCTCACACGGGGAATGGTGCTGCGTCGCATTCTCTGAGGTCAGGTGCCCCCTGGTCTGGAATGCGTGCAAGGACTCACACAGGGAATGGTGCTGCGTCGCAGTCGCTGAGGTCAGGTGTCCCCTGGCCTGCTCCTGGCTGGTGTCGACCCCCAGCCTGGGAAGTTCCAGTGGGTCTCCCGCTACACTGCCTACCTAACGGTGCCTGGACCTCGGGTTCGGCATGTGTGGCTCTGTACGCTCGTTGGCCGACGTAGTCTGTTCGGTGATGAGGTTGCCCCTCTTCACTCCGGCGCCGACACGATGTTTCGGCATTTGTGTCGCCTAGTTCACGGATGTCGTCCGGGTGTGCCTGTCGGTCCAGTTCGTGTTCGACGGCGTTCGCCTGATTCACACCGAGCGTTCGACCTCTGCGTGTTTTTTTGGCTGCGCCATTTTGGCTGCGTTCGCTTGTTGGTCGCCACCGGGATGTCCACGCCGCAGGGTTTGGGAGTACCGGGCGCCACCGGGAATGGGTCTATTCGTTTTCTCTCGCCCTTCTGAGCTGACGCCCGTTTGCTGCGGTTGTTTTGCTTTTCCGCTTTCCGTTTTTTTCCGCTGCCTAGTCGTGGCTCGGCTAGAGTTTGGACGCTTTTTGACCCGTTTCACGAGGCCGATGACCGAACATAATCCCCACCAGCCCATCCAGAAACGATGCCCAGAGGAATTGCCTCGATCAGGGAAGCGGGCAGCACACACAGAAAGGGTCCCTCTGTGGAGGCTTCTAGGCGGTTTCAGACGCCTCTTAGATCGTCTTCGGTGCCTCGGAGAGCTTCTTTGGGCGTCTTGGGGGTCTCTTGGGGGCTTCTTGGTGGCCTATTGGGCGGCTGTTGGGGCCTCCTCGGGCCTCCTGGACGCCTCTGTGGGCCCTCTTGAAGCGCTCTCGGGAGCCTTGGGAACGCTCTTGGAGCCCTCCTGTTTTGGGCCATCTTGGAGCCGTTTTGAATTTTCCGCGAAAAAGCCAAACACATTGATGTCCCCATGGTTTTGGAAGGGTTTTGGCCTCTTCGGGGCCTCCTGGGGGAGCTCTTTGGCCACTCGAAGACGTCTTGGAGCGGTCTTGGGGCCTCTTGGAGCATCGTGGGCGCCATCTTGGGGCATTTGGGGATATTTTGAGCCATATTGGAGATCATCTTTGGCTCCCCCAGGCGTTCTTGGAGTCATCTGAAGCAGTGCCCCCCATGAGGCCAACATGTGGCAAAAACATTAATCACATCAGCGATTTTGGCATTGTCGCCGAGGCCTCTTGGAGCTCGTTGGGTGCGTATGGGGGGCCTCTTGGAGGTCTCTTGGAGGTCCCTTGGGGCCCTCTTGGGGGCATCCTGGGGGCCTCTTGGGCGCCTCTTGGGGCCTCCTGGCCACCTCTTGGGGCCCTCTCGGGGCAACCTTTTTGGGAGCTTTGGGAGCGCTCTTGGGGCCATCTCGGAGGAGGTCGCTCAAAGAAGGAGGGGGTACGGATGATAGTCGCCCCTTCAGAAGGCCAACATGGAGCCCAAACCTTACTAAAATCAACGATTTGGGCTTCCTCGCCGAGGCCGTTTTGGACGTTTCGACGACTCGCGACCCCCCCCCGTCCAGGTCCAGGGGTCGGGGTAGGGGGAGGGGTAAACCCTTCCCCGAAGGGGTAGAAGGAGGGGTAGAAGAGGAAACGCTTCAAACCACCGACGCCCAGAGGGCTGGTGGGATTCAGAGCACGCGATTCGGGCGTGGTAACTAGGTTCATTCTCGCCTCCCCCCCCTCGCGCGGTCCCACAACAAGGAACAGTAAGCAGCAAGAAGCAGAACTGTAAAAGTGGTAAGTGGAAACTGGAATTGCAGGGAACAGCAAACCCTCGTCCTACAGCCTGGTGGCCCCAGAAGGGGGCAGGCGGATTTTTCGCTCAAATCCCGTTCACACCTTACTACCCATTTTGTGCATCTTGATCCTTACGCTCTCCCGCTCTCATGCCCTTCGCGATCTCGACCACCACCTAGATCACCGCGAGGCACTATAGAATGCATCGCGCTCGGGGATCCCAAGAGAAACCTACCAGGGGGTGCATCACAGTCCTGTTGGGGTCAAGGTGTGTGGATTCACTTTGGTGAAACGCCCGTGTTGGGACGCAGTCGCCTCTCTGGTCACAGCATCATGGCCACCCCTTGGCGGCCGGCATCGCATTCGGCACTCCCCAATGGGGAGCCCAATGTTGTTTCTCACGTGCTCACTCTCGCCCAGAGGCAGAACGCTTGTTTTGGGACGTCCACGAGACGATCTTCACAGCCACACGATCAATTAGCGAGGGGAAGCAGGCATCGCACTCGGGTCTCCGGATTCACTCATGTTCGGGCCGTTCAGATTGAGCCGCTCATATTCGTATCCGGTCATGCTCACATTGGCCCATACTCACCTACTCAAATGCTCTGGTTGGCCCATACAAGCTCGCTCGCACTCAAACCTCACTCATAATCATATATTATTATGTATTGTGTTCGGACTCGCTTGTTCTCGACTGCCAGCGCCCCGATGTATCTTCACGCAGAATTGCCGCCACCCGGTCTCACACATACAGGGTCACGGTACCAAGATTAATTTGTGCCCAGACGTTTTCATAATTCATGCGCAGACCAATCCGTGATCAGTTTCTCATGAACATATCCAGGCGCAGTCAGACATTTTTGAATGACAGCGCTAGGCACATACCACATATCTTTTGACATTATGTGACCCCCGCGTGGAATATGTCTTGGGCGCGGGCAAGGGGGCGACTTGCAGGGAATTGAGAGAGAGAGAGAGAGAGAGCGAGAGCGAGAGAGCCATTAAACAAGTCACTCACAACCGCTATTGCAGAACAGCCTTCACGGGATCGCCACGTGATTATTCTACACCATTCAGGTCCCACAAGGGGGTCCAGCGAATTCTGCAGGCACGTTGCCCAGGGCGAGCCTTGCAGAATATTGCACCCTGGTTGTGGGAACAGCGTCATGGCGGAGAGCATGTACGACGCTGGCTTCCGTGACGTGCTTAGCACCGACTGTTCGGAGGCCGTCATCGAGCAGATGGCCAAGAGGGCGACAGGACAACAGGGGTCCCGCCCTGGACTGCGGTGGGCGGTCATGGACGCCACTGCCATGGACTTCCCCGACGAGAGTTTCGACGTCGTGGTGGAAAAGGGGCTGCTCGACGCGCTGCTCTGCGGCGAGAGCCGCGTGCCAGCCGCCCTCTACGCCAAGGAGGTGTTCCGGGTGCTGCGGGCTGGGGGCGTGCTATTGATGGGCCTGTCTTCCACCACCACCACCATGAGTGGGGGGGAAGGGAGGTGGAGGACGAGGAGGAAGAGGAGGAGGAGGAGGACGAGGCGCGGAAGGAGGAGGAGGAGGAGAAGGAGGAGGAGGACCCCCTCCCCATCCAACTTATGGTGGTGGTGGCGGTGGAAAACAGGCCCATCGGCTATTCTTGGTCAGCTTCTCGTGCCGGAGGTCGTTCCTCGAGCTCGGGCCGTGGGGGTTCGAGATCTTGGAGGCGTGCGAGGTGTCGTGGCACGGCAAGCCCTACCACGTGTGCGTGTGCCGGAAGGCACGGGCCACCGCGGCGCTGCTCGCCGAGTGGCCGTGCACCCTGGGCATGCTGAGCAGGGGGGTGGCCCCCGAGGACGCGCGGGCGACGGAGGGGGCAGCCGGCGAGCTGCTGGCAGTTGACCGCGTCGAGGCCGGGGACGTCGTGGAGGTGAGCGCCGCGTTCACGTCCGGCGACTCGCCGTCCCGCGCGGTGCTGCTCGAGGAGGGCCTGAGGGGCATCGTCCGCCTCGTCGACGCGGACGGGGACGCCGTCGTCCTGTTTCCGAGGCTCGGCGGCGTGGACCGCGCGGAGAGGTTCATCATGAGCGAGCAGGTTCAACACCTGAGGGTCGTCCAGTCCGAACAGAATCGCTGAGACAGCGTCGCGAGGAGCCGGCTGGATAACAGCTGAGCTGACAGACAGCGTGTCTCTTCGCAGAACAAAGGACAGCAAGGAGGTCTGGGCTGGGGACGTGTCAGGGGCCACGTTAGGGAGGGACAGGCTCACGGGGGGGACGACGCATCGTCCCCCAATCGCCCTTTCGTCGCCGATAGGGGCCTGATGGCCCACCCCGCCCAGGACCGCGCGGATTCACAAGAGGGGGGCCGACTGGCGATGTATCGGTGATGTATCACCGATTCCAGCTCGACGTTGCCCCTCCTCAGCTGGTCCCCCCCTCACGTTGCCCCTCAGAGTGTCCTGCTCTGCGCGGTACCCTGCTGGGGCCTGAGATGCGCGGCGCAGGCTGCCGCTCCGTGGTGCCCGCTGGTGCCGCGCGGTGCGTCCTGGGGTAGGCCTGCCTGGAGACTGACAGATCCTGCCTGCAGGTCTGCCCCGCGTTGTGCGGCGTGCCCTGAGGTGCCAGCTGAGTTGGTGCCAGGCGGTGCCGCCTGCGGGGCGAGCAGCCGGGGGGGGCGGGAGGGGAACGTGATGATGGATGGGGGAGTCGGGTCGGACGTTTCCAGGAGTGATCCTGGCCTGAGGAGGAGGAGGAGCAGGAGGAGGAGGAGGAGGAGGAGGAGGAGGAGAACGAGGAGGAGGAGGAGGAGGAGGAGGTGCCCCTAGCTTTTCGCGCCATTTTGCAGCCTCTCTGGGGCGCTCTGAGCCTCGCGAGGCGTGCGCTGCACGCCGTCGGGGACTCCCTCGGGATCTTGGGGACACCTCGGGCCAGGGGCTCCTTTGGCAGCACCCGCTCTGGGGGGTTGCCGTAGCCGCACGGTGCGCCGCACGTGGTGTCCAGACGTCCGCGCGGGCGGCCTGCCTGGGCGCGGTGCCTTGCAGTGTGTGATTCGTGCCGTGCCCCCATCCTCCTCCTCGTCCTCCTCCTCCTCCTGCTCCTCCTCCTCCTCCTCCTCCTCCGCCTAGCCCCGAATGCGGAGGCGCGGAGCAGGGGTCAAAGTGGCGCTGCCTCTCCGCGGCCTCATCGGGGCCGTCGCGGCAGCCAGCCAGTGCAGGGCCCATCGGGCATCGGGCTCGATTGCAAAGCATGGGATCTTGGTGTGTCCTCGTACTTCTGCCGCTGGAGTGGACTAGTCACGAGTAGGGCCTGGCAATCGATGGGAAGGCCCCGATTTCGTGTCGATCGGCGTCGATTAGCGTCGACTCGCTTCGATCTCGCAAGAGCGAGCAAGATGGTATGGGAGGCTCCGATGGTATGGGAGGCTCCAATGAGTTACCACATAAGGGTTCATGGGGCATTGAGGGAACGTCCGCCCAGACACGTCGACTGAGGAAATGTGCACGGGCCCACTTGGAATTGGCATTCGGGTGTGCCAGTGCAGTCCTCATTCAGTTTCGCTCATCGGCGTACGTGTCGCTGGATACACTCGCTGTTGTTTGGGCGTCGTCGGGGCAGGAGCACACTGGCCCTTCCCTTCCGCGGCTTGGGCTGCAACTCGGCGCAGGTATAGCCGTGGTCCAATACTCGTTCAAATCCGTGTGATCCCGTTCAGTTCCTATTGCAACGCAATCCAGCTTAATCCCTGGCTCAATCTGGCCTAACCTTGCTTGATAGTCCGGCGATGGGGCTGAGTATCTGTTTATCCTTCTTAGGAGAACCTCCCAGATGCTGCCTCCTGGTACGGCTTCTCGATCCATCGCTGCAGGCCTTCATGAAGGGTCCAGGGATGGCGTTGTCAATTCAATCGTGGCCAGGTTTTGAGCTGTTTGCCGCACTCCTTCGCAGGCGATGTTTCTTCCCCAGTCCCCGAGATCCGCCCGAAACGTTTGGCCGCTCAGAAGAGGAGGGAAACCCTGGTATACGTCCCAGGGGGCTCTTCGGACGCACCCCTATCGATAATGGACGCCCTGCCATCGTGTATCCCAGTTTTGGGCCCCAGGCTTCTGGCTCGTTCGAAAGTTACACGAAGCCTGCGATAGGGGTCGACATATCCCCTTTGAACAGTGGAGACACATGCCAAGAAACAACCTGCTTGCCTCCAGGGTGCCCTGGGTTTCTTGGGTTTCGATGGTTTTGCTACGGAAAGCGTGACGTTGGCACACCAAGAGTCAATGGACGCCCTGGGGATCTCAGGGTTATGTTTTTTGGTGCAAGGTTTCTTGTGGTCGGGCCCCTACTGCATCCTCCGCGGTGGAGGAGTCTTGGCGCCACCATCGCAGAGCTGACCTCGTTTGGAAAACGATAGGGTGGGCCTGGTGTGTCCTGGAGAATTTCGTTCCGGCTTTCGAGGTGAATTTCGTGAGGATTTTTTGTCAGGAATGAATACCAAAAAGAACGCACGCGAGGTAATCTTCGTCTTTCGCTCGCCGCTTCGGACAAACATCCGCGCAGAAATCCACGCAGAAATCCGCTGCAGCACGTCTGCAAGGCTGGTGCCATGAGAGGAGAGGGGGGCTCGGGAGGCGGGGGAGCCACACCCGGCGGAGGACGTGCCTATAGGCACCTCGATCTTCTTGGGGAGGAGGAGGAGGAGGAGGCGGAGGAGGAGGAGGAGGAGCGAGGAGGAGAAGAGGAGGAGGAGGAGGAGCGAGGAGGAGGAGCGAGGAGGAGGACGAGGAGGAGGAGCGAGGAGGAGGAGCGAGGAGGAGGAGCGAGGAGCCTCGGCCTCCACAGGGAGGAGGAGGAGGTGCACCGCCCGTGCGGGCCCGTGCCCGCGCGTGCCCGCCCGTCCCGCCCCGGCGCCCGCGCCTCCAGATCGCGGTCTTCGTGCTCCTCAGCCGCGGGCCGCAGCAGCAGTGAGACGTCTGCTTCAAGCAGTGGCGAAGCGTTCTGGCGTGCCTGTCGTCGGGGGCGGCGAAGAGGGGGGGTGTTGACTAGGGGGGGGTGGATCTCATGGCGTGGGCCATGATTTTTTCCCCAGATTTCATGGCGCCTCTTATCTCGAAACTTGTCTAGCCCCCCCCTGGGCCGCGCACATGCCGCTGGCCATGATTTGCACCCCCCCCCCCTCTTGGACGCCCCCCTCTTTGCCGCCCCCGATATAGACCTACCAAACAATGTTCTAAGAGCCTTGTGTGGTTCCCACGAGATGTTCTGTGAGCATGTCTGGCTGGGGCCGTCTTGGTTTAACACATCGGGCTCATGTTCTAAGAACATGGTTTTTGTTATTGGAACACTTGTGGGTTCTAAGGACATGTCGTGGTAGGCCTATGGGAATGCCGGGACGGTCGGTCCCTGCTCAAATGTTGCTCCCGTCGTACTGAAGGACCGGGGGCAACGATAGGGGGGGATAGGCAGAAGGGGGGATGCATCCCCAGACATGATCGCGTCGTAAAAACATCAGAACGGAGGTTTTTCTATGTTTTCGGCCCCTGGGGGCCCTCGCCAGGCCCCAGGACCGTGAACAAGCGATTCAGGATGACAAACCGGCCCCAGGGAAAGGGTCGGGACTTCCGGGGACGCCGTCCGGAAAAAATCAGGACGTCGCATGTCTGGGTCGACACCCAATCACCCATTGATCGCCGATAAGGGCCCGATAGCCCCAACCTGCACAGCAATGTGCGGATTCACTATCGAGGGCCTATCGTCGATGCATCGGCGATGTATCGCCGATTCCAGGTCGAGGCCACCCCCTCTATGCCAGTCCCCCCCTATCGTTGCCCCTCAAAGGACCACATCCCAGAAATACTTTCGAGCACCCAGAAAAGTATCGAAGCAGTGTCGAACGAGTATCGCCTCCCGCGGCCGACGCGCGAAAGCCCCTTCAAAAGTCTGTACTTTCTTGGTGCTCGACATTTTTTCTGGTGACCAAGGCTACAGTAGTTTGGAACATCATAAAGTGAGACGCGTGCTCCACCGAGCGCGTTCCACTACTCGCAAAGTGCCTGCTCGCAAGCGTTCGAGACAAATACACACGCATGTCCACCTCGATGTAGTGGATCGTAAGTTCCCCGCGGCGGCTCCGGACCATTTCTGCGAGCAGTTACGTTCGGGCCGAACGAAAGGGGGGGGATAGGGGAAGGGGGGGGGTACGAAGTCTGTTGCATGCAGCTGGTCTCGGCCCCGCCGCCGGGCCCATTCCTCGATACATGGGCGCCTCCCGGCGCCGGGAGGCGCTGGGAAAATTAGCTACGCGAGCTGATTCTCTACCCTACCCCTTTTCGTTCCCCCCGATACGTTGCGGGTAGTTGAACGCGCTTGTCTGGTACTGGTGGGCAGCGCGAGGCGTCGGCCATTCTGCCGCACCCTCGACTTCGGCTCCCCTCCGCCTTCCCTGCGTTTTTTTGACCTCGCGCTCCACTCGCCCTCCCTGTGGTTGGCGTCGAGCTCCGAGCCTGTGTCACAGCGGCCCCCGAGAAGCGGGGGCTCGATCCGCACGCCCTTGCCCCGAATGCCTCGTGCCTGCCGAGCCTGGCACGTCCCAGGAAGCTGGATGCACATGTGACCGCATGCCTTTGCAGCGCTCGGTCCTTCCAAGGGGTTGGCCCGCCCGCCCTCAGCAGGTGTGCGTCGAGCTCGTGAGGTCCACACGTTCTGCACGCGACCGCAGCTGTGTGTGTGTCTCCAGGTTTCTGATAGAGTAGCACGCGGAGAGGAGCAGGCAGTAATTCGTTGAACAAGGTGAAAAGTTATCGCGGATGCTCCCTCCGGCGGACACGGCTGTCTGTGACGTGTGCGTGGGCCTCGCCAGGGCTCACGGAAACTTGCGTGGTCTTGTAGAGCGTCGTGCCGCAATTGCGAACGCCACTGCCATACGTTATCACATCCGTGGCGCCCATTGTTCCCGAGTTGTGCAGATTATGTTGTTGTTATGCGTTGTCGAGTACGCTCGGTATGCCCGTTTACAGAGCAGTTCCGCCTGTGCGAAGGCCACAACATCTTTCAGAGAGCTGCTCTCACGTCTGCGGATGTTGTTGGCTACGGGCGTGAACGCAAGGCAGCCGCCCCGGCCTATGGGACCCAGGCGCGAGATGGTGACGTCTGCGAGCCTCCGTTCTTCCGCTATCTGCATCCGTGCCATCCCAGGCGTCCGGGAGCCCAGAGATCCTCGCAGAGCGCCAGGCGCGGCGGAGACTCGCCCGGTGGGCGGCCAAGGTCGCCTCGGCGGGGCCGTGCGCCTGCGCGGCCCGCCTGCGCGGCCCGTCCCCCTCCTCCCTCCTCCTCCTCCTCCTTCCTCCTCCTCCGCCTCCTCCTCCTCCTCCTCCTCCTCCTTCCTCCTCCCTCCTCCTCCTCCTCCTCCTCCCTCCTCCTCC